AGTAATTAACTAGCCGGGCCAAGAAACGACGAGAGAAGAGAGACTACTGCGTAGAGGTTAAGAGTAAGAGAGAGGCCAGAGGCGAGCCAGTGCCAAGGAATCGCAGGCAAAGGGTTTGACCGAAGTAGTTGTGCTTCTTTGATTGGCCGACAAGGTGCAGATACAACAACGACCAGGGCCCGGACAGGGGTACTGCAGGTGCACTTTACTGCTTCAAGTCGCTGCAGGCCCCCCAGTTACCCCCCAGAGTCAATCGCTGGGTGCGCTGTTGCTGGTTTTCCTTACTTCGCTTCAGGAGCCCTGCAACTGGTGACATCAGCGGCTTCATTGGTTGTTCGCTACAAACGAAACAGACCCCGGCCACCCTGCGGGACAAAGTGGGATCCCGCCGCGGTTCGCCATGACTCTGGTCCAATCATCTGCCAGTCACCACCACTGAGGTCGCCAATGTCGCCAGAATAGGTACACGGAGTACGTACTGTCTGAGCAGTAGGGGACCTCGACCACGGTCCACGGATGCCTCCAAAACCTCTCTCATTCTACTCTTTGTCTCTCTAATCTTTCATCACACGAGAGTACAGTTCCATCTTCCACCAACCAAACCAGCTATCGCTAATTTGCTTGCCGTAATGGGTACCCATACTGGGCCATACAGACGCTATGTGCAGCACGACCCTTGGCCCTCCAGTCGTCCAGTCTGTTCAAACTTCAAGAGATGTGGTGGCACTGGTGGGCATGGCCAGCCTTTGACCACCCACCCCACGTTGACGCGCTATTCTGACCCATGCCTCAGAAATAGATCAGCGCGCGCTTCATCCCAAGTACCAGCCGAAAGACACTCCTCGCTAGCCAATTCAACTTGCTTACCAGGTTCAAGACTTGATTACCCCTGAGAGAATCGTCGTTTGTCGATTCCTCCCAGCCAAAGGAAATAATTCATCTGTCCCTCGTACGGGTGCGCACAACGACATGAACACCGCCATCTGGTTGAACATGCTGCACAATGGAACACCTATGGCTATTTTGCCGCTCGTACATACTATCAATCGACCGGGCCACCCCTGTGCAAGCAAGGCGAATAGACAATGAACCTTATCCACAATGACAAGCTTACCGAGAGACGTTGTCGTGGCTAAATGGGGCGAGGTTGCGTGGCTGTGCCACTCTAAATATCCTTTTGGTGGACTGTGGAATTCGCCAACCCTTTCGATGCCGGTGTCCGCGCCGTCCTCCAGCCAGCATTTCGGGTCGTGGGGTATCCCAACAGTCAACTTGAAGACCAAGTCTTGAATACCTAAAAACCACCTGCACCTCGGAAAGCGAAGCTTTCGCCGAGACGCCGCCCATTCACGTCTCACGATAACAAGAAAGCGACACCATAATACTGTCTACGCCACAAAGCGTCCCGAAGGGTGTCTAGTCTGTTCTGCCACTCTGCGTCACCAATTATTGCCAAGGCAAGTGAGCGCAGAAGCTGGTTATTGACCACCAGTGGGAATGAGGGCGTCTCGTTTCCGCGTATCGCACTGCTGGTCCAATGGGATCCCATTTCTTGGCACAATGTCCCGACAACAATATCAGCCGTCATTTGAAATGTCCAAAAGAGGGAGCTAGAACTGACACCCAGGATCGAAAATCCTGCTCTCGATAGATATTCATGGACAACTGGCATCGCATGTCACCGCCATACCTCTTCCGTCATCCGTCCATCCGTCCACCCATACAAACCCTTGCTTTTCCTCCAGCTGTCGCTTTTGGGTTCCTGGCCTCCAGATATCGGAGCAAGGCTACCCACCTCGGGATCGTGCTGTGGGAGCGTTGCAGAGAGAAGCGAACCATCACCAGGGGTTCCCACCCCTTAAGCGGCCGAGGCAAATCATAACAGTCCCGGCGCCGGGGCACCGTGCCGTTCTCTCACTACATGACGACAAGATTTCGGCCCTCCCTCCGAACGCGGGGATTACTCCCCAAAAACCTGACTGGGCGCCTGTGAGCAAGCCACCATTGTACGGTAACACAACACAGACACAATCGCCGCTGTCAGCGATGAAGCTAGCGAGCCACATTTCCACACGGACGGGCCAGGCCACCTGCATATGCCTGCTTTGGAGTCTAGAAGCACGCATGCCGACTTTCACATCCGAATTGTACTCGTGACTAAGCCAATTCTTTTGACACGACATCTGACAGCTTCGTCAACCACGACCGCTGGCTAAACATTCAAGCAACTTTGACCGCCCGAAATTGGGGTTTGGGGTTCGGCAGTATTCTAAAGTTCGCATCACCCCCACAACACCGTCGGCGCACCGGCAGTTGGCTCGTCTACCAATGGCAACCCCGATGAATCGTATTTACTTCCCGTCCTGCGATCCCGGCTCTCTACCAGCTCATCAAAGGACCAAGGGGAGTTAGGGAATATCGCAGCATCCCCCTCATTCTCGATCGCTTCCCCGCTTCTCCAGCTGATGATGGACCCCGAGCTTACCTCCGATCCCCCACATGCCCCTCCATGTGAGGCTCCGTGCCGTCTACTTCATAAGTAGCTCCTGGGACGACATTATCAAAAGTTTTGGTCCAACTGAGCTCTGCAATTCGATACTCTACGAGGCGAACACTACAGCAGCATACTAGACACAATGGCAGACCCCAAGGATTTGAAGATTGCCATTATTGGCGCAGGTACTCGCCGCCTGGCTCAATGACCTTGAATTCAGTTCACTAACACGAAGTTGCACAGGAATGGGCGGCTTGGGTTGCGCACTTGCACTGGCCAAGAAGGGATTCAAGCACATCGATGTCTATGAGACGGCCTCCAACCTCGGCTTCGTCGGCGCCGGCATTCAAATGCCGCCAAACGTCGTCCGCGTACTCGATCGCCTAGGCTGCTGGCCTGAGATCGAGAAGACGTGTACAGACGTGAAGAGTTCAAGCATCCGACGTAATGAGGGCCTCTGCACCACCGCATCATCCTGACAAGCACTGACATATTAGCATAGAGGGCGCTACCAATGTCGAGCTCGCCCACGTCGAGATGCCCGACATTCGGAAATTGTACGGCTTCCCCCACTGCAACGGCCACCGCTCCTCCCTTGCTGGTGGCATGTACGATGCCTGTAAGAAGGAGTCCGCCATCACATTCCATTTCGCGACAGCGCTGCTCTCGGTTGAATCCTTTGCGCCCAAGCCAACGTTCACACTGCAGCCGCGTGACGGCGAGTCCTACGCAGTCGAGTCCGACGTTCTCATCGCTTGCGACGGCATCAAGAGTATCATCCGCGCCCAACTGCTTGAGTCTATTGGTGCCGTCGGCGGGGAGGAGGATACTGGCCAGGCCGCCTACCGCATCATGCTCAAGCGGGAGCAGATCGCCGACGACCCGGAACTCCTCGCCCTCCTCGACTCGGACGAGGTCATCCGCTGGATCGGCGAGAAGCGCCACATCATTGCCTATCCCGTTTCCTCGCACACGATCTACAACCTCTCCACCACCCAACCCGACTCCAACTTTGCCGTCGCCACGAACGCGACCTACACCACAAAGGGTTCCAAAAAAGCCATGCTCGACGTCTTCCACGACTTCTGTCCCCTCGTCCACCGCATGCTTAACCTCGTACCGGACGGTGAGGTCTGCGAGTGGCGTCTGCGCATGCACAAGCCCTTACCGACCTGGGTTCACACCGACGGGCCCGTCGCCCTCCTCGGCGACGCCTGCCACCCAACACTCCCGCACCTGAGCCAGGGCGCCGCCATGGCCATCGAAGACGGCTCCGTCGTCGCCGAGGTCCTCGCCCGCGCGCCCGACACGTCTCCCGCGACGCTCCGGCGCTGCCTCAAGGCCTACGAGCTCTCCCGGCGCGACTGGACTTCCCAGCTCGTCAACATGGCCTTCCTCTCGGGCAAGCAGCTGCACCTCGGCGAGGGCAAAGCCAAGGAGGAGCGCGATCGCATGTTTGCCGAGTCCAGGCAGACCGGCGCAGTGCCGGATAAGTGGGCCTCACCCGACGTGCAAAAGATGATTTATACCAACGACTGCGTGGCCAACATCCAAAGAGACTTTGACGAGTTCTTCAGTAGCGTAGCATAGAAATGGGACGGCAGATCATATGATACTCACTCTGTAGATACCTGAATCTGTTGAAATAAAATAAAAATTCCGGTGGAGTTTCGGTCTTCACTTTTGCCCTCCGAAACCTCTCTTACACATGTAACGTGAAAGTCTCCGTGGCGTTGCGCCTAGGATGTTTGCGTCCTCGGCCAAGCCACTCTCGATGAGGCATACCCCGCACTCCAGAGCTCAGCTCACCTGAGCTTTACCGATAGGGAATCAAAGTCGCACAGTTTAGAGTTTAGAGAAGAGGACGGCAAGTTCTCCAAGGCGTATCCGTGATGATATTATGCTATGCGGTAAAACCTATGGAAACTCCCGGATCCCACCGGGTTCGAAAAAACACCAAAAGGAACCCAAAAGACCCTCGCAGGATTTGAAAAGGGCTTGTCTCCCTGTGAAACATACCCGACTCTCCAGCTCAAAGCACCAAAAAAAAAAGGTAAAAAGTTGTTGTTCCCGGATTCCACCTCGAGGAATCAAGAAACCCCGTCATCCCTTTGACGCCGTTCGAGACATGCAAAGATTCCCCCATGCTTATGACGATGAGAAAAGCGCAATGTCGGCCTCGCCCCTTACGACTCTGGTTTTGGCCCATTTCACAACCGGCGGAGAGTCGTCGTCGTCGTCTGTCGTGTATCTTCCCACGCCATGCCATGCATTTCTCAGCACCGCATCGTGTCCAGGCCAGATATCTCCATACACTTCGTACCACGTCTCCTTCTCTCCTGCCATCATCCCATTCGAAGTGATACTGATTCTGACGTTCGATGTGACGATCGGTCGGAGTATTTCAGTTTTGGGGGTATCGTGTGATTTGTATCGCAATGTCGCTCCGTTCAAGTTGGACCCTCGAGCCTCTAGTAAGACATCCCGTTCGAAAAAAGCCGCCCGCTTAGAACAAGCAGTCAAGACAGCAGCAGCATGCGAGCGCACCGAGCAGACCAGCCATGATGCCGCCTCCCGAGCCGCCGCCGCGGTTGTCCTGGTAGTAACCGCCTTGCGGCGGGTACTGCTGTCCGTACTGGCCCTGGGGCGGGTAGGGTCCTTGAGGAGGATATTGTCCGGGGGGGTACTGTCCAGGAGGCGGGTAAGGGCCTTGCTGGTGGCCGTAGTTCATCTCCGGGCCGGGGGAGTAGTACTGTCCCGGCGGAGGGGTGCCGTATCCTCCTGGGCCGCCCGGGGGAGGCGGGGAGCCGTAGCCTTGGTAGGCTTGTTGCGGGTGTTGAGGGGGAGGACCGCCGTACGCGGGGGGCTTGTCGTGGTCGGCCATTATTTGGATGGAAGCTGGTTATTTGTTCGTGATGGATGAAGATGAGAAAGTACTAGGCGCGAAGGGTTCGGGTTGTGTCGCGGGTCGGGTAAGAGGTGAAGTAAATTAGTTTTTTCGGATTGCCTTTCAACGACGATTCGGAAAATAATAAAAAGAAGCCAAGGAGCCCATCTGCTTGAAGCGGTGCGGCGAGATCCCCTTTGTCGGACGGAGGCGGCGGAGGGCTCGGAGGCGGGATTACTTGTAGAGGATGAAGGAAGAAGAAGAATGCAAGCTGCGGATGGCGAAGGGGGAAAAAACCGGTGCGAGGAGTTTAAGGAACGGGTATCGAAGAGCCACGCACACACTGGACAGAGAGAATGAACACACCACCCGGAAGAACGTGGCGATGTTGGGGAAAAAGAATGAGAGGATGGAGGGCGAGGAAAGGACGTGCGTTGCGTTGCGTGGATGGATTGGACGGGAGAGAGCCAAGCCGCGATTTTGGAGGGAGGCAACCTGCCTGACCCTTGTCGGTGTGAAGGGGAGGGAGGTAACTCCGTACCTTATCCTATGTTCGCCTGGCCGCACCTGCTGGTCGCCTGCGACCTCTCGTTTCGACGCTCTCTTTCGTTTTAGCGGGCGGCGTTAAGTTTGCAGGTTTGCTCGTGACTCTAGCCTGAAATAGGCTTATGCGCACCAAGTCTCTGGGCGCGCGCCGCGGGCGAGTCTTGGGGGGTCTTGGGGTCTTGGAGTGTTCGTAAGCTTGTCTTTGCCAGGTATCTTTTTGTTGGGTCCCTTTTTGCAGTGTAATTGCGATGGGATCCGTATGTCTCCGTTTTGGACGGAGGTTCCCCGTTCACTTGCACCTACAAATCATACGGATTCCGGACTACTATTACGGATACAATTCATTAAAAACACAAATGCAGCGGTTCAAGAAGAAAGGTTCAACGAAGCTTCCCGCACAAGCTCTCCTCCCCTCCTTCATCCCATCTTCAAGGTATGCGCGACACAAGTCAATAAGCGTCGGAGGGAAACAGATACACAACATCAAGCAGTACCTAGGACCCAAAGCAAGCACCTGTGACATTCGCCAGCCCCAAACTGTCCCTGTCTCAAGACCGTCCGCCTCCCCTTCTCCTTCTCCTGCTCCTCACCAGTCAAGCTCACCCAACCATCCCGCAATGAAGAACCCCCCCAGGCCCTTCGGCTCCTCGGCAAAGACCCCAGCAATCCAATGAGAGGCTAGCCACCATCCCAAAAGTCGTGTTCGCATTGCCCCATCTGATCACGCCCGTTGCTGTTGCAGCACTGGCTGGAGCTTCTCCCCATGGGTACCACGACAGTGAGGCTGCCGCCGTCCCGGAGCGGCATGCACCCAATCAACGATAGGCACTCGACCTGCGCGGTCATCAAGTGCTATGTTTGGAGCAGACCCGCTCCGGCCTGTTCGGGCTCACTGGGCTGGCCACTGGCGAACGCAGCATGTCATCAAAGAAAGGCGCCTAGCAAGGGTCTCGCAGGACGGGATCTGTCGGCGCAGGCGGTACTCCGCCGACGGAGGACAAGAAGATCCACTGTCACCGCTGACGCTTCCGATAATTTCGGCCCCGTCGCCGATGTTTTGCGAAGCATCCGGCCCGCCTCCGCTTCCCTTATCTCCGATACTTTCTCCGTTTTGGCAGTTGTTGCCAGAGGTAAGGCACTGACGACAACGCTCTCTTTCGTGATGAAATGTAGGACAACACCCTGGGAAAAAGTTGCCTCGCACCCTTCACAGACAAGGTAAAGTAAGCTTCGATACAGCCGTGAGAGCTGAAATACACAGAGAAACTTCTGGCCCCGCTGCCATCTTTGATTCACAAACAACATTTCATTTCAGCAAGGCGACACAGTTTTAGTTGATAACGTCATAACAAGCGCTGGTCTTCAGTTAGGTTTGCAGGATATTCTGTTTGCCTAACAAGAAACCCATTCCCAGGGATTAAGCAAAGTCGAAGTCGAGAGGTCTGGCGATGAAAACCCCTGCTGACCGAAGTAAGTGCACCATTGATACACCAAAACAAGAACATTCACCAACTTGAGGTACCCATGGAGTTCACGCAAGGTGGGGAATCTGACCTGATTGTAGCTTTATTACCGAACAGCCCGCATCAGGTATCGAAGTCTCCTCACACGCCACCAAAGTAAATACCGTTCGCATCACTCAGCGGACGTTGTTTTGTGTGCGTAAGTCTCGGTCACCAACCGCATAACCGATAGACATCCTACACCTTCCCCCTAACATCACCTCAGTTTCCAGATTGATATCTGCATGCTACTGAATGCAAAGCAAGCAAGAACATGGAAAGAATAGTTTTAGGAGGGAAGCGACTGCAGTGCCTATGCTCCTAGTTGTGCGAGACCCAGCAGTGACCGCAGCTTCAAGCAACATAGAGTCCAACTGCAGGTCCGGTTTGGAGTTACCCTTTCGTCAGACGACAGCTCCAGGTTGCTATCATGGAGGGATAAAGATGGAACCCGAGCGCCTTGATTATGCCACCATTAAGTGAGAACAGGCATCGACTGGTACTCTAGACTGTTAACTTGTGCGCTCGCCGCAGTGAAGAAACGCGAGGGACGGGGCATCCAGTACTCGCTCTGAAGAAGTCGAAAGCTCTCATTGTGCATACGGTATGGTCAACGGAGGCGAAAAATCAACAGTACAACCATAATATAAGTGAAAATCAATCAGCCACCCAATCTTTTGAGCATAACATGCAAAAGATGATGAGTTTAATGCTCAAATGAAGCAAAAATTCCGAAACCGAGAATCGAACTCGGGGCTATGCCTAACCTCTCAAGTCGTTGAGAGGGCATCATGTTGGCCACTACACCATATCGGATGTTATTGAAAATCTGGTTGGAGATTGTAACCTAAGTAGCGTGCTCTGCTACGCAGCTGGAATTTTGCCGGCACAACACCCCACACCACAACATTTGCTACGCCTTTCCTTTCCCACAGTCACGATCTACAATCGGTGTCAAAAGTATAGCTGTCCTCGGATTCCAAACTTCCCAGCTTTATTTTCTTCCTTAGATTATCACCCTGCCAAGTGTTCCTCAGCATGCTAGCAACATGACCTAAGCTCTCATCCCACAAACCGTCCTCCCTCAATAACCCGCCTCCGCTGGTGTCGCCCGCCCAGGAGACCACCAGGAAAAAGAGAAAGAAAAAAGAAACAGAAAATGCGTCCGACAAAAAAATCTCCCGCCCACAACCGAATCGTTGATCATATATCCGTAATTGTAGAGAAACGCTCAGAAATCGCTGGCAAATGTTGTCATCGTTGTGCATCGCTTCGCTATTTCGAATCAAATGGAGAAGAGACGATGTGTGAGAAGACCAAAGGCACGTAGGCCTAACCAAGGAGGGTGGGGGGGAACCCCCCTCTTTTAACAGATAGTGACGATGGGTCTCCGCCGCTGCTTCGTTTCGCTTTCAATGGCCTAGGGTAGCTCCAAGGGTCGGCAGTCCTCGTCTTCGCAAGTCGCTATTCACTCCTTCGGCGTGCTCGAGAAAGTGACCTTGCATCGAGTCCCAGAGAGATGCTGGCGGTACTACCAATGCTCGTTAGCCCATGTCCATCTTCCTTCTCTGTCCAAACTGGAACCCTCTTTCTCACCTTCCAGCACTCCGCTCCTTTCCAAGGCGTATTGAGTCACTGCGCAGTGAGTGCTGATTTGAAACATAAAACCTGCGCAAGAGTGTCAGCCGCGGTGCGATGGGTGTTGTTGCCTCCCCTTGCTATTCTTACCGAGAAAACCTTCTCCGACGCGTTGGGCCTTTAACTCGTTGGTAGTCGCTTGCACAAATGCCTCATGGGTTTCTGTAGACCCCCTGTTAGTATCTGGCCTCCTGTCTGAGGAAAGAGATCTCCCGCATTCGTACCTCCATGAGGCATGAAGCTCGACTGGAAACTCAGGCCACCAGCTTCCAAGTTGCGACTGGTGCCCTTGTAACCGCCATACACAATTCCCACCACCTCCGTTGACATATTCCGATGATAATACTACACCCCGTTAGCCACGACACTTGGGACACCCCGAACAGGGAGACAGAACGTACGGGAGGTCGAAAGGTATTCGTTGCCGAAGACCACTTTGGCGTGAAGAACATGACATCTGTTGCGGGTATACCGGGCATCTTGGACTTCGCCGTCAAGACGGTGTACAAACTGGGGTCGGCTTGGTCCTTGTCCACGAAGGCGGCGTTGACAAACTTCTCGACGGCATATTTGAAAGGCACATAGCTATCAGATTGTTGGCACCTGAAGGGAAAAAACTGGGGGGATGGGGGTCTCGGAGCGGGCGTTTCTCTTACTTGCCATCCCAAGCGACCACGTCAAAGGGCGTGTGGTTCTGTTTGCAGGACCACAACTTGCCAGCCAGTTTATACACGACTAACACGCCGCGTCAGTCAGCGTGGACACATCTTGGCAAAGTGATAGGGCAGACTTACTCTCCCACTCTGACGTATCCATGTCAAAGGAGGCGACGGGGAACTCGAAATCGCGAGGCAAAGCCATCCCGTTGCTTCCCAGCGGTCCCAGTTCTGGCAGCTCGTACCGGCTTCCGAATATCTCTTGGATGTCTAAGCCCATCAACTGGATGTTCTCTCATGCATATGGATATCGTCAAATGACTCACAACCCCGGGCCGGACCATCCGGCAACGCGACCTTGAAGCGGATGCCACTCTGGATTACCGCCAGCTCGCCAGGCCGAATCATCATTCTGGAAAGATCGTCAACAGATTTTCCTCACAGACTGAAGCCGGTGACTGCCCACCTCCCGAATTCTGTCTGGATGTCCAGCCTGCCAGTCTGAGGCACGAAAAGCATGTCGCCGTCATTGCTGCAGAATGCGCGCTTCTTCATTGAAGAATTTGCGGCGTACACGTGTACAGCCAAGCCGTCCTTGATCGTCGAGTCTCCGTTTCCAACTATCGTCTTGAGCCCCTGGACGAAGTCGATAGTCGGCCCATCTGTCTTTGGCACCGAGAATGCTCTCCAACAGAGTCCTCCGGGAACAAACTCGACATTCTCATTCCCAGATGTGAATCTTGACTCAATCTTATGGCAAAAACATGTCAGGGGTGGGCCCAGTTTGGAGGTAGTTGCGTTCCGCGGAAAAGGAAGGGGATCCAAGGAATGAGAAATGACTTACATCTGGGTTTCGTGGCATCTTTGAGATATCTCCGTGAGCCACAGATGGGAAAATCCGGTAGAACCAGGCATTTTGAATGTCGATTCGAGAGGCAACAAAGGTTGAACCGTTGAGCTGCTCGGAATAAAGGTTGTACTTGACTCTTTGTGGCACATTACATGAGCGAGGTAGAGTCCCGGGGCTTGCTGGTCAGCTCAGACTCTTGATCAAGAACTGGGTAATGTCAACTTACATGGCTTCAGAAGAGAATCTGTTCCCAAACCCAACTTGATAGATATACGGATCTTCCGGAGAGGACTCCGTAGTGAAAGCGTGTTGGGCAGAGGCGCCCATTGTCAGTACGGGGTCTGAGGAGGTCATAGGATACCTCTCAGAGTTGGGAATGATGGCTCCCATCGTTAGTTGGCGAGTGAAGGAAGGCGAAAACAGGAGCGTATCTAGACGTTGATGGCTTCTCAAGGAGGTTCGGTGAGTGTTGTGGATTGCAACGGGCGTGGTGTTACAAACAGAAGTAGACGGGCATCATGAGTGATAAATGCCATGTTCCACAATCGACATTTGTGGCGTCCCCAACCGGTCACTATTGACGGGCACAACTAACTTTGGCTCGAGAACAGGCCCTTGCATCCGATGACACTAAAAGAGATCAATCGGACCAGCGTTCAGTCGCGTAGAGCGCAGTCGTAGACAGATCTCTTTCATGGAAGTTTCGGTACCAGCAGTACTTACACTCGGTACGTATTCCCAAGTGGCCGGGCGAGGGAACGTCCCGCCCATTGCCTGCCGGCATGCGGGAGCACAGGAACTGGGTTCCTGGGCATCTGGTGTGCCTTGTCTCCCCCTCCCTTCTGCCCCCCCCCCCACCACGAACACCGATTTGCTGCAACTCAAACTGAACAAACCCCTTCGGGTATTGGCCAGATCTCAGGATGTCACCAGAAGAGCGAAACACTAGTGCAATGCCTTCTGAGAATGGGTCGATGTAAGCTTTGGCCATCATTCGCCTTTGCGCTACAAGGCGGTCTTAGTGGGAAATATCAGGTTAAAGCAGGCCTGGTTTCTCGCACAACGGTCGAGTTGATGACCGCAATTTGGCCCGGGCTGGCTAATTCCCATTTCCCATCTGGGGCACCCGCCGTGCTGCAAGATCAGTCGGTCGATATCCGAGCCAGGATCCCGTGTTCGACTTCCAACACATCTCTGCCTCTGAAGACGTGAGATGTCTTGAAATCGCGGACGAAAGGGCCATCTACGGCCATGCCCGGCACCTACGGATTGGACCGTCACTCCCGTATGTTCCGGGGATTTTGCTCGTGACCCGATGTGGCGGAGAGGGGGCAGGGCAGACGCAAGATTCCATGGCGAGCCGCGAATGGGGCAATGTACTCGAAAAGTATCCGTACTGAAAACTTGAATGTACGGATATAGAGTGAAGGAGTTGGAAGCGCCCGGTTGACAGGTGCCACATCCCTGACAAAAGAAAGGCCATGACTGGACTCGATGTGGCGCGCAAAGATAAACCATCCACTCGCGGCCGGCAATCGCTAGCCCCAGATGGTAGTTAGATTGGGATTCGGCAGTAAGTGATCGTCGGATCTTTGCGCACTGTATCCGCAGGACGGATAGCCTTCCTGCATCTTGCTGGGTGTATGGATAGGCGTATGGCCAAGGGCAACATCGTACGGTACAGTAGACGTGACACTACCTAAATATTGCGCTTCCACCGACGCTGGCGGCCCCAAGCAGAGTGAGACACGAAATACCTGAGGCCATCAGCTTCTTCGGTCTGATACTTGGCCGAGCTTCCGAAGCATGCCTTTTCAGGTATTATATTCGGATGTGGACGAGTTGTCTCGGTACCAAAAGTGCGTTGCATACGTGGGGAGCTTGATGCAAGGGCCGTCCAACCCTCACGGTCCACGAATAAGTAGTCTGTGACGCCGGAATACCCAAGGGCAATGTCCCTCTGCGCTAGGCACGCTCTTAAGAGAGGCCCCTGCCGATCGCCCATGGCACAAGCCGCTGTCAGGCTGGCCTAGGCCTAGAGACTCGTTTGGCGTCGAGTCCCTTGACTTGCCCCCCCCCCCCCCCCTATTTGACTTAATATCGGTCGCTTCAATTGTAATTTTTTTTTGTCTGTTTGTAGTAAAGCTCGCTTGCTCGTGTTCTGTGTGGTCATCAGTTTGCGTTGTTAGCACTGAGCAAGTTTCTCCTCAAAGGCGCCGAGCTATCTAAGTGCGCCCGCTGCAACGATGTGATCGATCACCGATAACCCTTGGACGATGCTGCGGCCCTTTTTGTTTTTTTTTCTTGTGCTTTGGGCATGAGGTCCGACTTGATAACAGAACGCAGAGCAAGACATCCTGCAATAATGGCGTGACTTCTCGGGTGAGCTCATCTTGGGATGGGGGGTTCGTTCACGGCCCGTTCGACGACATGGGCAATAATCGAGCGTGATCGAAGATTGCCTGGGCAAGTAAACTTTCCCAGGTTATCTCCCTCAGAAGCCAATACCGCTGCGAAGGCTCCCCACATCCGAGTAAAGTAGGTATGAAAAAAGTCTGGTGGCGTGTGAGGTAGCGTTTCTTGTAACGTAGTTCTGTGCACGAGAGGGTGCTTAAAAAGGCCCAGTTTGGAGCGCCTAGGCACTTTTCGGGAACCGGGATGGTGCCTCAAGAGACAGAGACAGGCGGGATGAAATGCTCCAAGTCGTAGACGGAGTTACGACCGAGCCAATGAAGACAAACGAGATGAGAGCGGAATGACGGGATGCAAGTAGAAAGTATTGCGGTCCGTCTGGCGATGTGTGTGACGAAGGGGGAAGCTAAGGCGGTCGAGGTTAAGGTCGGGAGTCTAACAGGAAAAGCAATGGGTGCTAACCTTATGGACTAAACAGTCGCCAAACTCCATACGGCGTAGTCGCGTAAAGTGGCTTCGGGAGACTCCAGACTTTCCTCGCGTGTGTTGCGTTGCAACCGCCCGAGAGGACCTACAATTCCGGCCGATGCTAGGTTGTACAACAGGTAGATGCAGTTGACGAAGAGTGCGTAAGGTAGTGTAGTGTCTCGGCCGTCAACCGTGAGTGTAACTGCAAGTGCGATTGCAACCACCAGTGCAACTACATGCTGCATGCTGAAGCCCACTCGCCCACTTGATGCCATGTGATAGGTGGTTGAGTTCTGGACAACCTCCATAAGCTGGGTATTGGAGGAAGCGAGTATCCCGTAACGATGCGAAGCGCAAGGGCAGCCGGGGAGTTACAGGGAAACGTCCGGCCCAAGTGGCCCGAAATGGCGTGTCGGCGGCTGCGGGTGATGGTCTGGGTGTTGCGAGCTCTGCCCAAGTAGGGAGTATCCGGCAGCAGACCAAACCAGAAAGTCGGAAAGGCTAAAAAGTGAGGCATCTCGACTTACATGGCAGGATGCCAAAGCAAGTAGGGATAATCCGGAGTATCGTCAGCGAGAGAGAGTCCAGAGCCCGGGAGGCTACGTAGGCAGGCGCGCAGAGAGGTAGAGATGCCTGTCAGTCTAGGGGCGGAATTTTGGCGAATCTTGATTTCGTAAAAGCCTATGCTGTTAAGAGAGACCCATGACCTTGGACCATGACGCCTTTTCTTGGCACGGCGGTTGTGAAGTGAGAGAACAGAGGGTTCGGAGCCGTGGTCAGTGCTCGATGGTGCCGTGTATGCGGAATTGCCTGCCCGCAACTTGCAGACTGCAAGTCGACCTCGCATGCCCCCCCTCCCCCCACTGTAACGCCGAAGTTTAGAGTTCATGGTCGGGAGGGGCAGCCCTGGGCGGTGTAAGCGGAGGGGAGGCCGGGCCAGGGATGGGATTGAGGCCATGGGAAAGGCAAAGACGACTTCAGCCGCCCGCCCGCCATATCGGAGGGGGTGATGGACGACACATGTGGCGGAGAAGGCCCGCCTCGGAAACCGTTGTCTAGCGTACTTGGTGGTGGTTTCTCGTCATATCTTCGTAATTCCGTACGACTCGAGGGGGAAATGAGGTGGTGGTAATATCCGTAGATGAGAGATATGTTGGGGAACTAGAGGCTAGGTGCCTGTCTAGTGTAAGTGAGTGGTCCTTCTTTTCCTTCTCTCTCTCTCTGTCTCTCTTTTCTTCACTGTCTAGCTCTTGGTCAGTCAGGTTCGTGGGTGTGTATTCGTATGTACAAGTATGGACAAGGTAGGTACCCGCCGTGCCGGCAAAGTGGGTGGTGCGCTGGTTGAAAGTTGGGTCCAGGGACACGTTGCGCGCGCGCGCGCCGTCACAGCCTCACGGCCATGTGCGTGGTGTTTCCAAGGCTTGGATGATTGAAGTCACCATGGGCTTGGCGAACCAGACCTGACTCTGCCTTGCGGTGGCCCTGTCGAGCTGGAGACTGGAGTTGTGTTGTAGTATAAGGTAAGGTAAGGTAGGTAATGGTCCGTACCGTGTAGGAGTACCTGTCTCTGGATGGTCCCAAGTACTGTGTAACTTGTAAGTCAGGGTCCCAGAGAGGCGGGGCTAATAATAAGGTAAGGAATGGTATCCGTTCGGAGTACGAGGGACGCAGCACCTTAGTGAGGAATCATCGACTCCGAGTTGGTCGGTGGTCCTTGAAGAGGATCCATTCCAAGTGTCCACCTCCCGAGGAAAACGCACGTTGCTGTGGGTCTGTCGGCTATTCTGAGGTCCACCAGATTGGATACCGATGGGCGATGAGCGATGAGGGATGCGCGACTTGCGATTTGGTGACCTGGAAGGACAAGGAACGAAAAGACGTTGGCACCTCACGTTGCACGTTGTGGCGCGTTGCGGCTTGGGCTTTTTGGGCTTGGGGGTGAGGCGGCAAACGACTACCTTACTGTGTAGTACTGTGTAAAGTAAGGTAAAGTGAGGTATCCGTAGGGGTTTGAGGTGTTGCCGTGTTAAGGTAGGTAAGGTAGGTTGGTTGAGTGTTGGGTGTGGTGTTGTTGGCCTGGTGCGCAGGGCGACGTTGGAGAATGGAGAATTCGGGGAAAGAGAGGTTGTGGTGTCTGTGTCGACACCAGGGCAGGCAGGTGCAAGATCCAATCATCCATCGTGACTGCCTCCCGACTTTTGCACACTTGCACACCTACTCCAGCACTCCAGCACTCCAGCACTCCAGCGCTCCACCACCACCAGCACTTGCATCTTCTTGCCCTTCCGCCATTTCCCATGTCATCCAATCCACCCGACCCGACCTCATCTTCAACCCGCACCCGTAACCGCACCCGCTTCACGAATCAACCCGGCCCAAGTCAACACCAACCCACATTATCAAAACTTCAGCTCCAGCCTCCAGGTCCTTCACCTGCTTTGGATCTGCATTTGCACCTGCACTTGCACTCGCATAGTGGCACCGCATCTGCATCTGCAATTGGCATTGGCAATTGGCTCTGAGGTGGCTCTGGCCCTCACCAACATTGCACTTGCAGCTGATTGACTGATTGATTACCTTAGTTCCTCCCTTGTCTTCCCACCTTCCCGTCAACTTCACGCAACTTCGCCCGCGCCATCCGCTGCATGTCCCACACGAATAGCACTTGCATCGTCCAGCCCAAGTCCATCCGTACCATCTGGTTTTTCCTTCTCCCCTCTACCACAAAAATCACAACCAGACAAGTCATCCACCCACCCACTCCATCCTCTGACACAGAAACTGCTAGCTCACCTGAGTCAACTCATAAATCTCTTTCCGACGACGTGTTACTTGCACTGGTTGAAACAGACTCATCAACATCTCGCCTAAAACATTCTCCCGGCTTCTCGACCTTTCTCTGTCATTCAACTTGTTCGTGTCGTTGATATTCGATACCACATCGCGTTTGTGGTAGCCCTTGACTCGACCTGAGTGGTGGCAGTAGCAAGGACCATCTCTGCGGACAACTCTCCGCCGCACCCAGTCTGTACCTTAGGGAAACACAAGCCTTCGAATCAGATCACCAGGGCATCCACATCTTGCCGATCTCTCCTCAAGAGTCCAAAAGCACAAAACATCTCAAATCCTGTTTGATTCGCCTCAGGACGGCACGAATACAGCCATAACTGTGCCGGGTACTCGCACTTGGTCACGGTACATCGACACGACTGTTGTCATCTCAGGCTCTCAGCCCCCCCGCAACTCTTGTCATCAACCGCGCGTCTGCTCTCCTCTACCACAGCATCCTTGGCCATCACCTCACTCAAGGTTTATCAAAGTGACAATCATTATCCGAGACGACAACGACGACGACGACGACTGCCTCTTGCGGTCTTGCGACTGCTGACTGACTTCAACAACGGCCTACTCATCCAAGTTGCTTGGAGTTTTTCCCGGCAGGCATCTGTAACCTTTTATCGTCCCAATAGTTGTAATACGTGCCACTTTAGGGTTAGGCTTTGTCACTCAAGCCTTCTGGAGGTCATTGGGTTTCGGGTCCTTGCTCAACTTCATCCCGACTACTTCCAGCCGTCAGTCAACTGACTGGTGAGCCTGCTTTGCCCAGCATCTGCCTTAGTCAATCAGCCAACGTCGCCGCTGTGCAAAGATTCAACTTCTTGACAAGGAAAGCATAGCCAGCGATACTGCTTCTTAGACCGCCCTTTCGATAGGTAGCCAACCTTGATCGCCGTTGGCAGTCTGAACAGGGACAACAGCCTAGGCATTGAGACGACTAGGGGCCACCTGGCCAGTACCGCAATAGCCACAGTATCACCTCTTGCGCTACGCAGGGACTTGTTACTTGCGTAAACCCGTATCCGTACGTGCAACCCTCTTGGTTCCCGGAGTAATTCGCCCTTCTGCCCACGGAAAAAGGCCACTTCAACGACAATGGCGGAAACTCTGCAGATCCCGGGCCCAGACGTGGCCTGGTTGGCCCCTCGTCTACCGTCAGAATCTGCCATCCAGTCAGCGAGATCCCAGGGCCGGCCTTTTGTTACTCTGACCTTTGCAACATCACTGGATTCTTCCCTTTCCCTCGCACCTGGTGTGCGTACGCGCCTTTCGGGTTCCGAGTCCAAGGCTATGACACACCACCTTCGTCGTCACCATGCCGCCATTCTCGTTGGCGTTGGGACTGTCCTCGCCGATGACCCAGGCTTAAACTGCCGCATCGAGGGGGCAAATCTCGACGCCCAGCCACGCCCCATTGTCCTGGACCCTCGTGGCCGATGGGACTTCACCGAACACAGCAAAGTTTTCGAAGTCGCCCGCGCCAACAATGGCTTGGCACCGTTTGTACTAGTTGGCCCATCTGCCGTCAATCCGGAAAGAAAGGCAATCCTGGAAGCCCATGGTGGTAAATTCGTCGTCCTCGAATCTCGTAACACCGAACCACGATTCGATTGGCCCTCGATCCTCTCTGCTCTTCACGCCGAAGGTCTGCAAAGCGTCATGATCGAAGGCGGCGGGCAGGTGATCAACTCGCTTCTTGACCCTGCCTACCATCGCCTCGTTGACAGAGTCATCGTTACTATTGCGCCCACTTGGCTCGGACGCGGCGGTGTTGTCGTATCTCCCGACCGAGTCCAGAGTACCGAGGGCATGCCTATGCCAGCCGCCAGGCTCACAGATGTTGCTTGGCACCAGTTTGGTGAAGACATAGTTCTCTCCGGTCAACCAAGTCTGGACGCCTAGGTAATTATCCCCCTTTCGGCTGAGTGGCACGGCCAATGAAAGTGGCCATCAGCTCATATTCGCCAGGCCCTCGATCACATCTTGTGGTGCAGGCGGCAAACCTCAGTGGCCGACATGGAAGACTACAACTGGCCGATCACCACTGAATGGTCAAGCAAACAAGAAGCCGCCGCCGCCGCGACGCACCCGCCGTATTGCCTAAGAAACTGTGCCATTGTTGGTCAACTGTCGAAACTGCCCTATTCTGTCAGGGCCCTGCAGATATCAACATGCCCCTGCTTTCCCCCCCACTGGGGCGCTGAACGAAAAGTACGGTCTATCATACCTCGCTTGCCTGGGTATATCCCCCCTTTCCTTCTTTACTCTGCCGCTCGAATGTCTAGCCGTCCTAGACGTGTCCTCGCTTCCTGATTTCCAGCCGTCTCAAGGGCGCATAGAAAATTGCCGTCAGGACAAACGCACACTCGAAGCCAATATCTCCAGTCACTCTCGCAATCGGACCAGTGTACCAGGCTTGGTCCATCCCTGGGATGATGAGCCCGAAGCTCAGCAGGCTCGCTCCAAGGGCAGCGAGTCCGGAAGGCAATAGTCGGGCAACGTTCCACGCTGCAGGTTCGTACGAGCTGTAGTCCATTCGACGGAACAACACCAGTTCCTCAATAATGACTGCGTCGAAGCAGCCGGCCCAGTAACCGATCAACCCCAAGAAGTTCTCGAGAGAATCGGCCCAAGACTCAGCAGCGCGAATTGCCATGGGAATCATGATTCCAAGCGCAACGACGACAAAGACAATGCGAGGGACCTTTGCGAAAACCGGGAGCATCTGCTGCATACAGAGAGCAACGGAGTACATGGACGTCGCGATGTTGCCGATAACACTCAGTGCGAGGATAACCAGTACGAATTTACCAAAGCCGCCAGCAGGAGCCAACATAGCTGCCATGACGCCGCCAATGCCATATGTGTCCCATCCCGACTTCCATTCAGGAACATTGTTGAGGGCACCTCCAATCGCCGCTCCCAAGATAAGCAGCGGGATCGAGGGTGTTAAGATCCCGAGGTATATGTAGGAAAAGATCCTGAACCTGAAAATTGTTAGCAGTGTGACTAACCTGGAAACAGGCGTTCCTCACTTGGTTGTCTTGTTGGGGTTGTGATAGGCAGTGAAGTCCGACGCAGTACCGCCAAAGGTTATGAAGTAACCGGCCATCAGACCTCCATAGTTGAGTATCTGAGCTGCTGTAGGAGGGGACGTCTCGGCCTGTTTCCAGAGATGTTTCCCACCGCAACCTACGGCAATGACAATTGCAACGAGATTCGGAAGCCATTGCCAGCGTTCCCACATATGGAGCGCGCGGTAGCCAATGAACGAAGCTGCAAAGCTTACAAGGCACGCGATGACAATGCCGATTTTCACATCAATGTGTCCCGGGTTCACAGCCGCGAGAGTTTGGCCGCCAACGATTGAAGACGAGAGAGAGAATCCGGTCACAGTCGCGGCGTTGAGAAGAAGAGGGATGCCCACAAGATAGTATCTGAACCATTCAGATCGTCAGTTTTCGCATCAAGTTATTCTTTACAGAGACATCGACTTACCCAAACGAATACCTGGCTTGGACAAGCTGCCTGAGTCCGGTATGGGAGCCAGCGATGCCCATGAATGCCGGAGGCACACAGGTCAACAAGGCGAAGAAGATGATGACCAGTGAGGCATCCCTCAGACTCAATCCGAGCTGAGCTGTGGCTAAGGCGCCGGTTGGGATCCTATCGCCGGCATCAGCAAAACAGAAATCTCCAGCCTCATCAGAGATGGTGAAAGCACTCACGGCAATAAGCAAAGCAGACTTGTGAAGAACACGGTGAAGAGGTTGCTGTAGTTGGTATTGGTCCGCTCACCGAGAGGCACTGGTTGGATCCCGTTTTCCTCCACGCCAGCATCTAGCAGCCGCTGATACCATTTCGGATTTCTTCTCGTTTCCTCCCGGTCTTGATCGCCATCTTGGACGGTCAGCAACTGGGTAATGCCGACATGACCCTTCGAGACAGTAGGCTGACTCTCCATATCGTACGTGTCAGCCTGTTCCTTCAGCGTGATCGAGGTTCGGGATGACATGGTAGCGATTCTTGGATGCGGGATTAAGGGGACGTGTGGGCGGCTGTCACCTGCACCGATCCTTTTGCGTTATCCCTGGCGAAGTGAACACCAAATTTGGACTTTTGGGGAAGTTGGCCAACCGCTCCTGGAAGCTACGCCCAGAAGCACGCAGCCTTGGGAACCGATTGAGAAGCAGGTCGAGATTGGGCAGCCTGAACCGACTGAGGGTACTTCGTCGAAGCGGGGGAACTCCCGAAAATCCGACTTTTTAGTTCTTGGAGAATAATCCGTCTTTCTCCACGAGCTTCTGGTCCTCGGTGGATGAAGAAGAAAGCCTTTATCGTCTCGCAAAATAAAAAGGCAGGACCGACGCCCCGGTCGAAGTAGTGAATGCCCTCTCGCAACAGACGCGGAGAGGGAAGCAGGTCGGGAGGCTCTTGCCGCAAGGCTGGAACGAGTTTGTATATTCGGTATATTCGGCCCGGGCTGAATCGGACCCTGGCGTTCGTTGCTGTTTCCACGGGTATTGTAATGGAGTTCGATTGACGAGTGTAGACAAAGCAGGACCAGGTGGACGACGATCGTCCGAAAAGACTCGTTGAAGGAATCGAAGAGTACAGTTGACGCAAATGAGACGACGAGCGGACAGACATTGGCCCACGGATTTGTCTCCTTGCCTCGGGGGGCGATGCACAGTTTGTGCAATATGGAAGGCAGTACGGCAAGCAAGCAGCAGTAACAGTGTCAGCGGCTCTGGCAGGCGATGATGACCCAGATTGGCGACAATAATTAACGTTGGGATTACGAGTCGCCCGTATGCAAGCTCTCACCCTCCGAAACGGCTCGAGTCATCGTTATGCTTACGAACGGTCGAAGGTCGTTCCTTGATATGACGATCCCAACCCCCCGCAGCAGCAGGAGCAGCAGCAGCAACAGCAGCAGCTACAGTTCTAAAGCACCGTTTCGCTCCAAAGGTTAAAGGAAGCGGACGGAAGAGTCAACCGGGACAAGGGGGGTGCGGCATGGGGGGGAAGATGGGAGCGAGCATGGATGAGGGGTGGAGTTGCAGAGAACGAGCGAGGGTTGTGAAGGGAACTGGACTGCAACTCCCAGCGGATTGTTCCCAAGAGCCAAGACGACGGGTATCATTACTCCACGAGCAGCTATATTTTCATTTCCACAACCACACAAATTTTATTTGCAATCCATTGTTCTCCCAAGGCTCCTTTCGAGGTTTCCACGCCAGTCTTACCACCGCTACGGTACCCATCCCGAGTTAATCCCAAGTGGGGGTTGCTTCGTCAAGCGCGAAACAGATGGGGAAAGAAAGCAGCTTTTTTTGATGAGGGGCAAGAGTGTGTCAAAACGTCACTGTGGGAGTCTGGCCGGGGCCGGAAGGATTTTTGGGGAAGGGCCCGAAGGGGAGGGATGAAAGGGCTGAAGCCTGAAGAGGGCAAAAGCCCAAAGTCCAAGTGCAAAGGGGACGGACAGGAGCGAACAGGCAAAAGGAAGCAAAAAAAAAAGGGCCAAGCTCTGAATTGGGTTTTGCTTGCGTGGGAATGATTGAGTTGCTTTGTAAAGCACCTCACAGAATCCCCGTCACCTCCCGTCCTCCCCCCCGTCCACTCCATTCCTCATCTACCTGGCCCGAGCTGCCTTACCTCGACCTCGCCTTCAAAGACCTCGCCAGTTTGCCAGCTTTCCTACCTTACCTTACCTTACCTTACCTATTTTGAGCTGCCTTAGCTGCCCAGGGTGGTGTTGACCTGACTCTGCAACTCAAGGCTCCCTTCTTAAGCTCCTGCTCACATGAGCTGGTGTGTTGGAGTAATCGAATAACCCAATGCAAGCCTTGTCAATTTGGGGCGTCAGGATCCCACGGGGTAGGCTACCTATATCGAGGAAAGGAAAGCAAGGCCTGCCTACCTAATTACCCACAGACAGCCTCTCAAGTTCACGACGAAAGAAGGGTAATTAGGTTCCCGCCTATGTTAGTGTCAGACCTGGCGGTCGATCTACAAGTCCGCAAACGCCGCCGCTCATCACTTGTTAGGGTTCTTTTTTCCTAGTGCCTGGCCTTCAGCCCATCCCATCCCACCGCCGCCGCTGTTTTGGGGGGAACGGCGTAGAGTTCGCACCATCAAACGCACCGTCAAACGCACCATGGCACTTTGGCACATTCCTAACTGCCTTACCTTAGCCCCAAGTCGTCGGGTTCCTTCGTCCGGACTTGGCGGCATTCTGGAATTCTTCTCCCGCCGGTTTTGGCCGTGCTGTTGCAGTGGAACTTGATCGGTGTCTCCTTCCTCGTCCTCTCCCACGCTCGTTCATTCACTCACCTATTCACTATCGCTTTGGAATCCGCTTGTCAGGCTGTCTCACGGTCTCGCCGCACGTGCCTGCAACGCCCGACGGCACTTCTTATCAGCTCGACGGACTGCCCGGGCCAAGCAAAGCTGCCTGTATAGGTGTAGCATTCACCAAAACTCTGACAGCTCAAGACCCTGTCACCTAGTATATCTCCCTCGGGACGTGATGCACTTGCCGGGTTGAACAGTCTCTAGTCCTTGCAGGCTAGGGCTCGGCTCGAGCGGACAGCTTCGGCGACCGTCAGGCCAAGCCCAGCAAAAGAAATTTCCGTCTTTTGCGGTCAGGTATCATTAGTCGCGCTGCTTCGCGCATCAAGTGATTGAGAAGTCTGCGACGGCGTGCTGAGCTTGTACGGCTATGACTTCCTCCGGACCGTCACGATGACTATTACGCAGAAGTCGCGTTTGCACTATCCTTGGCCGACGTCAAATGTGTGCAAGCAAGCTATCAGCTGCATCTGCGTCCCGTTTAGGCAAAGGAAACGAACCCCGAGTTCCCGTAATGGAGGGCGGATGGTCAATAGCGTCGCGCCTGGACTTCAGCCCCCAAGGGAGGATCGGGGGGCTTGACCCCAGTCCATCGCGTGGCTCATGACTTGCGATGATTCCTTCAATACGGCGAGTTTGGCGTAATTCCAGATCTAAGTCGTTGCATCGCGGCTGGCGATCCAGATCTTTCCATGCAGGAAGAGCTCCCTTCCCGCTCTTTTCCACTTTCGCGAGTCGTGACCCTGTCGATAGGGCATCTTGCAAACCCTCACAATAGTATCGCAGCAGCCAATGCTGAGTGGTGGCTTCATGCGGTGCGAGCCTGAAAGTTTGGTGCGTTTCGACTATTGAGACACTGCTAGCACAGGACATTGTGTAGTCTGCCCGCTGTCTGCCACGTTTTCGATGCGGACATCGGGTCATTGACTGACTGCGTGATGCCTCGTGGAATCTCTACTTCCTGCCGTCACAAAGATTCTACTTGTTGCCACGTTTTTCTCCCTGCCTTCAGGGTTTGGATGGAGGGTGACATGGCTTATGCAGTGGTTTGACACGGGACGAATAACGTCGCTCAAAACGCTTGTGTACATGACTCTCCAAGCGCTCGTTATCCTCTTCACCGTAACGTCGAGTGATGGTTCGCACAAAATGAAAACTCATCCCCGTCATGCGTACTCATGGAGAAGTTGGATACGTTGAGTCGTGGCCAAGAGATATTTCTTTCTTGGTGATGGGCAAAGCTCCAACCAGACTCGTCTCGGGGCGGATCCGGACCCTCGTGGAGAGGAGCCCTGACGCAGGCTTGATATGACTGCAGCCCGTCCTTTGGAAGTTGATAAGATCGACAAAAGAAGATGGCAAAACCCTTACATCTAGGAGAGGTTCCGGATGACAAAATCCCATTTTTTCAGAATCCTGTTCAGAAATGGTGTCAGGCTCCGCATTATTGACGTGGACGTGGCTCCTCCAGTCGGTCCAGATGCAACATCGGCTATGTTGGCTTCAACAATTGTTCACTTGGTCTTCCTTGGCCTGGCTACAGAGAGCAGCCGTCGTTGAGAATAAGGTCTTGAACCTCAAAGCCACGACTTACTCAGTCGTCAATTGGTTGCAAGGAATTTCCTATGCGTACTTTCGAATGTCCAGGTTCCCCCTCGAAATCGACTGTGCACGGTTTCATCAACCCGAAGCCTAAAAGCTTAGTAAATGTGTGTTGGCATAAGGGCTAGACCGCCTCACTTTGTCCTTTGCTCTTCAAGAAGAAACCGACTGTCGCAGCAACTCCTGTGCTCTTTGGCTGCGTGGTGTTATGGAGCATTCAAAATGCTCCGGATGACTGTCGGTTTGACGTCAGAGTTTCAAAAGTCTTGACACTTATGGAGCAGTAGACAAACTCACCAGGTTCCACCATTGGTGAAGGCAATCTTGGGCTCCATGATCTGGCCATCTAGTCCAACTTTTTTACCAATCTTGAGAGTGGCAAGCATTGTCGCAACTGCTATCCAGACACTATTGTCTGCCAGGAAGCGTCCAACGCAGACTCGGCGTCCGAAGCCAAACTGACCAAGTGGCAAGGGCTCACCATGGCCTCCAGAAGACTCTGGCTGGTATCTGTCCGGGTTGAAAGACTTGGGGTCCTTGTACACCCGCTCGTCCTGAGTCATTGCGCTTGAATTGAAGAAGACAATAGACCTGGGGAAAGAAGTCAGTACTTTCTTCTAGAAGCATGCAGCTTTTCGGGCCGTTGAGGGGTGAAAGGGGGGCAAGTGAACCTACCCTTTAGGGATGAACATGCCGTTATAGACGTCGTTCTCGAGAGATTTGTGGGGAATTCCTAACGGTGCCAATGGCGACCATCTGTTTCTTTCTCGTCAGAAGCTATCCCACGTGGGTCTCGACCTGAGTAGCAAGAGGAAACTTACCGATAGATTTCCTGAACGATGTGGTCAATGTATTGGAGGGATGGCCTGTCTGAAAGATCGGGCAGTCTATCAAGGCCGACCACGCGATCGATGCAGGCCTGCGCTTTTTCTTGAATCTCAGGATGGAGAACCATGTTCAAAACAAAGACGACCATGGTGGCCCAAGTCTGGTGCAAGTCAAAGTCAGCAGCGTATCAAAAAGCAGAGTGTTGTCCTCGAGGAGCAAAGTTACCGTGTC